CTGGGTAAAAAGGAAAAGCAGTACCGGATTACTAGCAAGTTCTTTCTCTACTCAATTCTGCCAGGAACAGACTGTATACCTCGGGAACTCATTCACCTTTTATAATAATCTCTACCTACTGTTCTAAAGGATTAATTGAGGTTTTTCTGAATTTTAGGAAAAACTCCAATAACAACTGATTTCCTACTGCAGCCTAATACTTAACTGGGAGATTCACATTATATATAAGGTTCTCAATTTTACTAAATCACAAAATGATTCAAGTATTAATAATAAATACTGCTGGCCTGTTTTAAAATCTAGTGTGCACAGAGGGACTCAGAAAAGAGAAATATTTTTCTAGGACACATGAAATTCTCCAGCCTCTTTTTTACCCTTTAGTTTATTTTTTAAATTGAGACATAATTTACATACTGTAAATTCCCCCTTTTAAAGTGTACAATTCAGTGTTTTGCCCAAAGTTGTACCACCACTGTCACTATCTAATTCCAGAACATTCTCATCACCACCACTTTCCGCCCCCCGCCCCCCCCCCCCAAAAAAAAAACAACAACGCAAAAAACCATGCTCATTAGCAATCATTTGCTATTCCTCCCTTCCCCAGTTTCTGGCAACCACTAATGTATTATCTCTACAGATTTTCCCGTTTGTTTTTCATATTTATGAAACTAATATAGAGACATGAAATGATTTGCACAGGGTTGTAGCCACCTCATAAGAAAGCAAGATTATAACACACGCATTTATAGCAACTTTTTAAACAGTATAAAATACAAGAGATCAGTGAAAATATGTTTAGCTCAACTATACATATCTTCAATGTGGCTATAAGACTCCTGATGCATAAAGCTCAATTCTTAGGCTAGTAGTTCTCAGCAGTGTGTCAGGCTGGGTGGAGGCAGGAGGGCAGGGTGTTAGGCAGGGATCACTAAAGAAGAGATGCTACTGTTGGACAGGAATTGCCCATAAGGACAGGATGATGAGAGAGAGAAGGTTGAGAAAGTGTGACATAACGGGGTTTATAGGCCTTTTTTTTTTTTTTTTTTTTTTTTTTAGCCCAGGGCTGTGAAATTAGTGCTAATGTGCACAGGTGCCCACTTGCTTTCTTTTATAACCTCAGTGGGTCCCAGAGATCCCTAATTATTCCCAGTTTGTTTGAGTAGTTAATGCATAAATAGTGCTACCACCATTTCAGAATACTTGCTGGTTTATGACACTTTGCAAAATAATATAGAAAACTTGACTTTTTTATAGTCTACTGTCTGCATTCCCAATTAAGTTAAAGAATTACAAGCTTAACTTACTTCTGTACCACCAACAAACGTGTACACAGGAACAGTGATCCCACAGACTAAAATAACAATCAAAATCCATTTGCAAAAATAATTAGGCACACATTTTATTTTGTCTTAATCAATATTGCAAATACATTAACAAAGGGGGAAAAAAGGATGGAAACTGCTCATCACACAGAAAAAAATTCATCATTCAAAACAGATTAATCTGAACTTCAACATTCTTTTTTAAAAAATATACTTTTATTGATTTCAGAGAAGAAGGGAGAGGGAGAGAGAGATAGAAACATAAATGAGAGAGAATCATTGATCAGCTGCCTCCTACATGCACCCCACTGGGGACTGAGCCCGAAATCTGGGCATGTGCCCTTACTGGGAAGTGAACCGGGACCTCCTGGTTCATAGGTCGACGCTCAACCATGCCTGGCTGAATCTCAACATTCTTTGTGCTCATTTAAAAATATTCTTAAAACAGGAACTCAAAAAGACAAACAAGTGAGAACTGTTCTATCAATTCAAATTGAGATCCTAAATCAACTATGACTATACAACTTAAAAATAACCTTGTCTTCAATCTAGAAATGCTTGATTTGCCAACATATAATGAATACAAATTTTCTTTTATTAGCAAGTTACTTTGAGTTATAGAGATCCTGCATATGACTAGCTTATCTTTTTTTTTTTAATGACTTATAAAATTGCCTAGTTAGATGGTCTAACTATTCAGAGACTCATATACTAAATGACATAGTGACTGGCCATTTAAAGTTGAAACTTGTTTAGCAAATATTTTACTAACGTTGTTATTATTAAGCATATAAATTAACTTAAAAGGTCAACTCTTAATTGCCCCCAACAAGAGAGCTTTGGTACCAATAAATTAGAAGTAGGGCATCCAAATATATTTTGTTTGCAGTTTTATAGTGTGTTTTTTTAATTAAATTGGAAATGCCTATTCATGAAAAGTGAAAGTCTCATTCTTCAGTTATGTACAGAATTGTAAGGAATGAACAACCTAACTCTTCCAAATTATTGATGTAAATAAAGCACTAGCCTAAAATTTCTTCCAAAAAGCCCTGAAATTTAGACCAAAAGTAAATAAAGAATTAAGTACTACTCTACTTTTTAATGCTCCCTTTCCCTCTTGACATGAGCAGCAAGATACTAGAAAAAAATAATTCCAGTATGTACTTCCAGAATATATCAATTTTAGTTCTCCCATTTGATAGGGGGCTAAGAATAATAATAACAATAAATTAAAAAAGAAAAGGTAACTTAATAATTAAAAAAAGGCAGACAGAGCATGGGGAGAGGGTGGGTTTAGGAGAATATCTGTTGTCAGTCAACCCTTTTGTAAAATTCAGAGCACTATGATAAGTCCTCTTTAAATTATACCCAGGGCCATGCACAATTGCACATGGGATCTGGGCAATTCTTTGATAAACTTTAAGGTTGCCAGATAACTTACAGAAAGTTAATAACACATTTTCATTTTAAGAAGCAAAATAAAAATAAAAATATTCAAGACACCGAGCAATTTTACTTTTTGAAATAACTATCCTAAAATTTTTTCTTAAATTCAGATTTTGCAAAGTTGCTAGGTCATTAAGTAGACACTGAAAACAACTTTTCATATAAGGGCTGTAGATTAATTCTTTATCAAGCATGTATTTTTCAAAAATCTAGGCCAAAGTGAATTGAGATTTAATTCTAAATGTAGATTTCTAGATATAACATTGCAATAAAACCAGTAAAAATACTTTTGTTCAAGTATGTTTACTTCTTCAATTATTTAGTTTGGGAAATATTTACATCCTTGCCCCAAAAGATTACTTACAGTTTGAAAGATTAAAGATAAAAACAAAAATTGGTTCAACAATTGTCACAATGAAATGAATACAACAACTTTCCACTCAATCCAAAAATAAACCACTGCAGCACATGAGCTCAGCTCACATAAAACCACTTCTTTTTCCCAGCTTCATAACTGGACTGAACGTTGCTCAAAAACATTACCTATGTTAAAAGTGGAGAGAGAAAAAGTGTTGTAAAGATTGCACAATGATTGAAATTGAGATGGATATAATGTATAATCATAACATTTCAGAGCTGGAAGAGATCTTCAGGATCGATCTAATCCAGCATCCACATTTTACAGATCAGGAAAGTGAGGGCCAAACTGAGTCATTTGGTCAAATGACTTGACCAGTCACATTCCTGGGCTGAGCCATTCATTCATTCACTCAGTCATTTTCCCATTTTCGGAAAGCTGCCTAAGTGCAAGGCTCAAGTGGAAATAAGCTGGAAGCAGCATTCACCATTGTCAAGACAGGCTTCTTTCCTTATCTTCTTAAGATTAATCCTGAAATGCCCTAAGCAGCAAGAACTCACAGAAGAGTTCCACAGCCTTTGCAAAACAGGACCCACTTTCGGTTTCACACATTTCAATAAACACAGTTGGGTTTAACTTCAGAGAGGCCTCAATTGTATTTACTTTAAGTGATTAAGCATTAACAAAGGGAAGAAGTACAGTATTCTGAGTAAGTCCCTCTCTAGTACATTCATAACTTAAGGAAGTGCAATCAGAAAATGCCCTAACACACAAACAAGTTCACAGACAGGACAGGTTATGAAATCAAAGCTATCTGAGGTATCACTATAGATCAGTTAAGTCCAATAGCTCAAGTTTACAAAGTGTGGAATGTAAAGATCTCCCCATTTCATTCAAATGTGGGTATATTTTTCTGAGATGTCTATATGTAAAAAAAAAAAAAAAAAGACCTCCAAACTCACATTCAAACTAATTCCCTCTTCTAATGACACACATATCCAAACCAGGCCTTTCTCCTTAAAATCAACTTTCTTTGATTTCCATTTCATTTTTAAAAATTAGGAAAAATAAACAAACCCTAAAAGTTAATGTGTTGGCTAAAGAAATCCAAATTCTATGTATAATCAAAACAGCTTTAGCTCAAACTGCACATTTAAGAGTTTGTAAAAAAAAAAGGGGGGGCGGGGGGGGGGGAAGTGCAGTGAACTCACCCATCAACAAAAATCATCTCTTATTTTACTTGGGACTTTTAGAGTCTGTAATATCATCTGGCACCTAAATGTTTTGTGTATCTCAATTCACAGTCAACTTCTTTAAGGAGAAGAAACCATATTGACAGAGCTCTGAAATAAAACAACCTCTAAGTAAGGCACTTTCAAACGTGAAACAGCAGCTCTCTGCACATCAGTTTGTGTTCTATGCCAAGATGAACCACAGGTTATACAGCCCTCTCATAGATGACCACTGGGTGATTTCTGATAAAATATAATCTCCACTGAGGCTCTTTGACTTTCTGAATATACAAAGTGCTGCTGTACTCTTTTAGTTCTCAAACTTCCAGATTTGATTTTTATCCAGAGCATCACAAGTTCTCATCTGCACATCAGGTCGGCCCTCAGGTGTCCGATAAGCACTAAGACAGAGTCCTGAGTGAGGATGAAAAATGGTTCCATCTTCTTTAAAATGCCAAATAATGTTTGCTGGCACAGGGAACCCATCTTTTGGACAATTTTGCATCCCTACGTGATTTTTTTGCTCAGGAACCTCTGCACATAACTCTGTCACAGAATTAAACCTGATTTCTTTGTTTGAAGTGTATTCAAAGAATTGATTGCCCCCTTGACCATGGCATCCAAACAGTGAAAGGTTAGCACCTGTGGGGTTGTTGTCAGGAGCATTATAATCTAAACATTCAGAAGAGATCCCCATACTGCGAACAGCTCCGTGCCAGCCTGGCCTATCCTCTGGAACGTGTAAGTTTGAAAACACGTTTTTCAAATACCAGTCAAAGCTCTTGCACTTCAGCCGTTCTCGTAGTAGCTTTCTTTCAGAAATATCTCCGTAGGCTTCTTTCCTGGCCGGAGGGTTTCGATTGTAGAAGTGCTCCTTGTACTCATCCATCCACACTTCCGCCGCCCGAGCAGTGTTCTGTAGGAAATTGGGCCGCGCATAGGGAGCCCGCTTAGGGAACACGTGGCCCACGTGGGAACACGGGTGGATCTCCAGCTTCCCTCCGCACTGCCACACCCTGAAAGACAGCTCCAGGTTTTCACCTCCCCACACTTCCATCCCAGTGTCATACGTCCCAAGGTACTCAAAATACTTCTTGCTGACAGCAAACAGTCCCCCGGCCATGGTGGGCGACCTGATGGGCTCGATTCTCGATTTCCACCTGTCCCGCTCATGTTTGGGGACAGAGTGCCACTGGAACGTCAGACGCCAGTCAAACCCACCAATCATGGGCTCCCCGGTCTGCATATAGAATTCGAAAGTGTTCCAATCAATGGTGTCTATCACGGGACAAACCACGGCCGTTTCGTCCTCGCCGATCCTTTCCAAAAGGGGTTCCAACCAACCCGAGTTACACTCACAGTGGCAGTCCAGGAAGGTGAGCACGTCCCCCGTGGCAAACGTGGCCCCGATCAGGCGGGCCCGGACCAAGCCCTCCCGCTTGTTGGTCCGGATCAGGCGGACTCTCTCGAGGTTGCTGATGTACGTTTCGAGCTGCGCCTTCAAATACACGCGGTCGCTCAGGTCATCCACCAAGATGATCTCCTTCAGGAGGACCGCGGGCGAGGTCTCCAACACGCTGTGGATGGTGCGGAGCAGCGTGGACCAGGCCTCGTTGTAGAAGGCGATGATCACGGAGGTGGTGGGCAGCCGCCGGTAGTGGAACGCCTTGGACCTGCACTCGGGCATCCTCTTGTCCTCGATGTGGCGGTGCAGGGAGATCCTGTCGCTGAGGTAGATGTTGATGGCATATCTCTCAATGAGTTCCTCCTGCTGCTTCCGTTCGGCCTCGCTCAGCTGGAGGTGGCTGGCTTTGCCCCACTCCCCCGGGGCCTGGGGGTCGGCGGGCGGCTTCTCGTACAGCGGCCGGGACAGATCTTCTGCCCCGGCCCCGGGGTCCGGGAGCTGCCTCGGCCCCCGCTCCCAGGCCAGGCCCGCTCCCGGGGCGGCATGGAAGCGTGGAGACCGAGAGTTCCACCAGCACGTAGGCCACGGTCAGGAGCGCCAGCAGCAGGCAGCTCTTGCCTGCCCAGGTCCACCTCG